TATATATATACATCATGCTCAATGTGACTTTAGTGTGGGTGAACGTTTTGTTGTTTTTTGTATCAGTCAGAAATGTTGTGGAGGAGTTTACGTCTGTCTGGAAGTATTGCCGTGTTTTGAAGCTTTATATAATTATATACACCTGAGGATGGTTCTTTTAGGAACTGAAACATGTCGTGAAACATGAAAAATGATGGTCTAATGTAAATCGAATATTTCGATAAAGAACATCATTTAATATTTTGAATATTTTAAATGTTGAAATGTTAATTATTGTAATATTTTAATATTTAATAAGAATTATTGTGATTAGACGGACAAGATTTAATATATACTTATTATATCACAATATGACGCAACTTTACCATCTTACCACATAACAAACAAAGTAACTAATTAGTCTGCGCTTAACGAAGGCATCTGTAGTTGACATGCAATGCATTTTGATCAGTTGCGTAAGAAATACATCGTTTCTGAAGCTGATATTCCGTCATCAGCTTCGGGTATGAAATCCACTGTTCGGGCTCCACGAAAATCTCTGGAAAGCTCGGAGAAAAAAAGTGTTTGTATGCAAACTTAGCAGCTAACATACAAAATAACTATATAATATGCTTTAACACCATTGTTTTTAAACTTTGCTTTAGAATACGCCATGATGAAGGTCCAAGAAAACCAGGCGAAACTGAATGGGACACATCGGTTTTTGGTACATGCTGATGACGTAAATATATTTGGGGGTAACATAAATACCATAAACAAATTTGTAGAAGCTCTAATTAATGCTGGTAAGGAGATTGGTCTAGAAGTGAACAGAGAAAAACTGAGTATAATTTGACGTCTCGTCACCAGATTGCAGGGCGAAATCGTAACACAAAGATAGTTAATGGGTCCTTTGAAAATGGGGCAAAGTTCAAATATATTGGGGCGACGGTAACAAATCAAATTTTTATTCATGAGTAAATTAAAAGCACTTTAAATTCCGTAATTCTTACAACCATTCAGTTCAGAAATCTTTGTTTTTCGTCTGATGTATAAGAACGTAAGGATTTTAATATACAAAATTATGTTTCCTGTAGTTTTGTATGGGTGTGAAACTTGGTCTCTGACAGTAAGGGAAGAACGTAGACTGAGGATGTTTGAGAAGAGGTTGCTGAGAAGAATAATTGGGCCAAACACGGAGGAATTACTATGAGGCTGGAAAAAATTGCATAATGAGGAGTTTTATAAGTTGTTGTCCTCGCCAAATATAATTAGACTGATGAAGTCAGGGAAGATGAGATGGGCAGGGCATGTAGCCCGCATGGAAGAGATGAGTAATGCATTGAATGCACACAGGTATTGGTGGGCAAACCAGAAGGAAAGAGGCCACTGGGAAGACACAGACGGAGGTACGGACCAGTGACGGGCTCCTGTAACACGGAAACAAACCTTAGGGATCCGAATTTATTGAATGCCTGAGCGATTGTTAGCTTATCGGGAAGGAATCGACTCCATAGAATTAGTAAGCATAATATGTAATTACCGAATTAGCCAATGAAAATATAATCAAATAAAAACTAATAACGAAGGAATTTAGTAACACAGCAGTTAACCAAAGAAATATGTACCCAGCCAAATACTTAACCAACTTTGCAAGAACAAACAAACTATCTAAATACAGAAATTAACCGTCTTCGAGCCCAACTAGAGAAAAGCTTGACTAGCGAAGTAGTTTCGGTGCTGTAAAGACGTTCCAGGAAGACATAAACCACGGACCAGTTGTCCTTCCAACAGCGATGGCTGTTTCATAATTCATTCAACTGTGAATAACCTGACGGTTGTGTTACGTAAGCGTTTGCTGTAACCCCAATCACGTCGCAATGCTGGTAATTCCTAGAAGCAAACATCGTCCGAAACGGGTCTGTCGCCTGTTATCCTCACAAGATAACGGGACACCGCCTTCTTTTTGTGCTGTGTTCACATAAGTAACACGTCAAAGTGAAACTGGGTTGATAGGTTTCTAGTGTTAACTACGTGTTGTTACAGGAACTGGCGTAATGGACATTCTTCGAAAGACTTTGTAGCTCTCAGCTTCAAGTGTGGAAGCAACCCATATTACCGGCTTAAAATGTTGGGACAGAAATCGGCTGTTATATGTGAGATTCTTCGTGATTCTCCTCAGACAAATACCGGGGACAGAACTTAAAAATCAGGTTTCGACAATTCATTCCACATCATTTACAATTTAGCACGCAATAATCAATTATCCGAGACGCTACTGTCTTAAGTAACTGGCGGTGTCTTTAAGGAAACCATAACATATAATTTTCTTCTCTATCTAAGCCTCTATATGAAGACAGCCATTTTATTACATACAAGGGTTAAATATACATATTTACTTTACGAAACACATTTTTCGTCGTTTTCAAATCAACTTTCGTTTACATCAGAAAATAATAATTAAGATATTAGATATTGTAGATGCGTCATATTGTGATTTATATAGTATTAAAAATATATTAAAATTAGCCGTCAATCACAATATAATATTATTAAAATAGAAGAAAAATGAAGACTAAAAATTATTAAAAACCAGTAAAAAATCAGTAATTCAGTGAAAACTTTAAATACATAACACCTGATGATGGCTATATATAGCCGAAACATGTAGTGTAAGTTCCA